GCAGAGGGAGGAAGGCGGGGGAGGGTCGGGGCGAGTCACTCAGATTTGGGATAGGTTAGTTACAGAATTCCACAAAATACTGAAAAAAAATAGTGATCATGTTTAGTATTACGAGCGTACCAATATACGTATAGCGTCTTGAGCTGGGACATAAAAACTTATATGTATCTGCGGCGCGGGCGGGGAAGAAGCCACTAGCCAGTACTTTTTTCAGTACCAAGAGGGGATTGGAGTGGAGGGGAGAGGAGGGGAAGGGAGGGAGTGGAGAGAAGGGGAGGAAATCGAGGGAGGGAGGGAGGGGGAGCGAAGAAGTGCGATGAAGGAGACGGGGAGAGGAGGGAGAGAGACGGATGGGGAGGGGTAAGTAAGCATACGATTGGATCAGTGATCGACAAAGTCAGAGAGCGGAGAGGAGGGAGGGAAGAGGGATGGAGGCAGGGAGGGAGTGAGAAAGGGAAGGGAAAAGAGAGAGAGAGAGCGAGAGCGAGAGCGAGAGCGAGAGCGAGAGCGAGAGCGAGAGCGAGAGCGAGAGCGAGAGCGAGAGCGAGAGCGAGAGAGAGAGAGAGAGAGAGAGAGAGAGAGAGAGAGAGAGAGAGAGAGAGAGAGAGAGAGAGAGAGAGAGAGAGAGAGAGAGAGAGAGAGAGAGAGAGAGAGGGTATTATGGACGGGATTATGGACGGGACGGGCAGGGATTTCTATATAGATGTTCAAACGACGATTACAATTAGCGCCGGTAGGCGCGGGAGGGTGACCTAGTTAACATCATATTGCTCGTGGCGAAGCAGTGCAGTGACGAAGGCAATGTCTTAGGAGAAATTACAGGCAATGGTAAGTCAAATATTTTTAGGCCGAAGGCCTGAAGCCTGATGCACATCCACTTAACCTAAAAATATTTGACTTATCATTGTCTGCAATAGTGATGTCAATTATGGAAAATCCGAATACCGATACCAAACCAAATACCAGCCAAAACCATGGGGAAATACCGAAGCCAAACCGAGTTGGGAACATGAGGGAAATACCAACTTTTTACCAATTTTTCCAGCCTCTTATACGCTAGTGAGGGTTCATGATACCAACAAAATGCAAAACACATTAGGATTCAAACACCAAATGCCAAGTTGGTATCGGTTTGGTATCGGTATACCAAAAAGTTAGTATCCGATTGACAACTCTAGTCTGCAATCTATTCAAGTGAGTAACTTCTTCTTATCCACGGGTAGGCAAAAATCAGTAGGTCAGGTTAGGTAAGGTTTGGTTATGGTTTTCTTATATTTTGGTGACATGTAACTTGTAAGGATGTAACTTGTATCATATGAGGATTTAGGAGCTCAAAAAATGGAAGAATGTGTAAAATGTACCTTTGAAAAGAGAGTCGGTCCTAAAGTTAATAGTACGGGTTATGTTAAATTAGGTTAGGTTAGTTTCGGCTAATTGGCATTTCGGCAAATTGACATTTCGGCTAATTGACTTTTCGGTAAATTGACATTTCGACTAATTGACATTTTGGCAAATTTACATTTCGCCTAATTAGCATTTCGACAAATAAGCTTTTCGGCGAATCGACATTTCGACTAATTGGCTTTTCGGCAAATTGACATTTCGATTAATTGACATTTCGGCAAATTAGCATTTCGGCAAATTGACATTTTCGACTTGTTGCACGTCGGCAAAAAGGCATGTCGGCAAATTGCCTTTCGACTTTTAGCACTTTACCCTTTTGACACGTCGGCAAAATGACACGTCGGCAAAATGCATTCGACATATTGACATTCGGCAAATAAGCATTCGGCAAAACGCAGTTCGGCAAATTGTCCTGTACCCGTCACACGAGGAGATTCGAAACGCGGACGTCGTCGCGGCCCTGGCGGCCGCGACCAGACGACTTCAAAGCCGGGAGGCTTCGCGGCAGTGATCCTGCCGCCGAGGGGAATCAACAACAACAACAACCCTGCACAGCGTGCTAGGGCCGGTCACGGGTTGGCCCGGATGGGTTAGGGGCGGGGGCATCACAATGCACAAGCCATCACAAAACCGATCAGTCAGCTGCGGGTGGTCCGGAAGCACATTGTGCTCACACGGAAGCTGACGTACACAATACACATACATGTACAATTACATGTATAGCGACGTATACAAATAACAATCCACCTTCGGAGCTGCTACTACTGTAGGTGCTCCATAGTCCATCTCCACGGTGTCACGGAACGACAGTCCGAGAGGGGCCCACTTTCTATCGTGCTAATTGTTCTTGTTATTAATTTTGGCATTATACTTCTCAATTTCATTGTCTGCTTTCAGGATTGCAATTAAAGCCGAAATTGATGGTACGCTTTTTGAACAAATGATGTGCACTGCAGCACTTACACAATGATTTACCAATGCATCATCCGTTATTCCCAAAATAACCTTTTTAATGCGATTTTATCAGCTAGAAAACCATGTTGCTTTCCTCTAAACCACGCTTTCAACTCAGTCCATAGGCTTTGGGCTCTCGGACATTTGAATTTTGACGATCGGCCCAGTGGTTTCGGAGATAGGAGGGGGGAGGGGCTCTGGAGTCCCCCCCAATCATTCGCGTTATACCCCTATCATGTGCGGGTTAATTGAGTGTATGAGATTCTGATTGTGCGGAATTCCGTGTATGTGTATGTCCTGTGGGATTTGAGTGTGCGGAATTACGTGTGTGGGCTGCGGGATTTAACCCGCTGCCCACACACAAATAATCGGCAGGCCCCGTTGGGGTATGCCGAGCAACGCGCCCTGTTGGGGGGGGGGGGCAATTTGCCCCCCTTAGATCTCGAGAACCACGCAACATAGCGACAAGCAGCAAACGGTGTTGGATAGCCCCAACAGGGAACTACCTTGTGACCCAATTTCATTGACCTAGGTCAAACCGATGACGTCTTAGGTCAGGTCAAATGTCGAATTTTCGCCGTTTACAGGCATTTCAAGAAATGCGTTGTAAAATCGAGTAAAATTTATTTCATTGAAAATCATCGATTGGGAAAGGTTCGTCAAACACATACTTTGCTATTTGAGGTCACTGATATATCAGGTCAGATCACAGAGATCAGATCTTTGAGTGTCACAATATGAAAATATGTGATGCATGTCTTATGGTCTATTTTATACCGGGTGTCCCAAAAGTAAGGTCATCATTTGTGTTGGCCACACTGCCAAAAATACGCGATGGATAGATATAAATAGGACATCATATGAAAGAGCATTTTATAAAATTTTATTCTGACATACATATGAGTCAATACATTGGCTCGTAGCCCCACATTTGCTGCTTTTCTACATGGCTACCATTTCGGGCCGCGTGCATGAATAGACTACGTTTGACTTCCTCCACTATTCTGGAGCGATTCTCTGGTGAGATGCCGCCTATGTTTGCTCGAAGGGATCATCCTTTAGTTCTTCCCGGCTCGTTGGGTTGTCCTAAAAGACAATCTTTCTGTTGTGTATCCAGAGAATAAAAATATGAAGGTGTAACGTCAGGTGACCGCAGAGGCCATTCAATGGCGTTGCCCTGACTGAAAATTACGGGATCTCACATCCACTCTCGGAGACAATGCATGATCTTCAGGACGGTGCAAGCATAGTCTCCATCCTGCTGAAACCACTGCTGGCTGATGGTGTCGGCACAGCTGCGTTGCGACGAGCGGAAGAACCAGTGGGAGGACTCTCGGCCACCTCTCTTGATTTATTGTCACCCGATTCCCGCTGTCGTCCTCAGGACCTCGAAGCACAGGTGGCTAAGTATACATGCCCTGTGCGTACATTATACCTTTTTTTCTGACGTTTTACCGGTTGAGGCGAAACTATGCATGAGTTCAGAGATAGAGCGAGCTGATAGGGTCTGCTTAGGGCCGAAAACTGGGCGGTATTTACCCTTTGTTTTAATGACGGACCCTCTCTAAGAGTTGAATTTCGACCTTCTCAGTTTTATGCCTACTGCTCGGTGTAGTTATGATCAAAAATGGTTTAAGCATGCAAGAAAATAATTTTATGGATGTACCTTGCACGTGTTAAAATTGGAAGTGATTCGGACTCTTACTTCTCGAGATATTTAAGTTTTAAATCATGACCTTACTTTTGGGACACCCGGTATGTCAAATGCGATTATGTGGGTCAAACAGCCTTTGGGGTCCGTTCAGATTATGTTCTGGTGAAGGTCAGGTCAAGGTCAGTTCAAATTAGGTCAAATTTCAAAGTTGATATTTTTGCATAAAATAGGTATCGGTTCGATGCAGCTCGTCGCGGGAGTTCAATGATGGTCTTTGGTTTGCGATACGTGGTCTAAAATTGCTAAAAATTGAGTTCAAAAATTTGACGTCATCAATTTTGAATTTTTTTTCGCTGTAACGTGGCCAAAAAAGGAGGTATCGATCTAAAATTTGGGATGTATATAGAAAAGGGCAGGAATTAACACATATATTCCGTTTTTTTCGAAATTCGGGGAAATTTTGGGATTTTTAGCGTTTTCGAAAAAAAAAACTTTTTTTATTTATTTTTTGGTCAAAATCCCAAACTTTTGAAAATTCGAGGTAGCAATTTTGTAGCGCCGCCTTTTGTCTACATGCACATTTAAAGAACTTTGAAATTGCTTGGTAACTGTAGCTTTTATGAGCGTTTCAAGGTTTCATGTTTTTTGCTCATTTTGCCTCGAACATGACCTCAGTTTGACCTCAATATCTCTTGACCTAAGGTAACGTAAGACTTGAAATTTTGTGTGAAGGTGTTAAATTGATGCCCGGGAAGGTACTGAAAATTTGGCGGCGGCCGTTTTCTTGCTATTCAGGAAAACCACAGGGGGGGGGGGGCAAATTGCTCCCCCCAGCGGGGCGAGGGTTAAGTGTGTGGAATTCCGTGTGTGGGATTCTGAATCTGCGAAATTTCGTATGTGTGTGATTCTGAGCGTGCGGGACTCTGTATGTGTTTCATTATGAGTGTACGGAATACTGAGTGTGCGCCCGTCTGTTTGTGCTGCGCAGGAGGTGGGACGGCTGCTGGTGGAACTGTTCGCCGACGTGTGCCCGCGGACCGCCGAGAACTTTCGCCAGTTCTGTACTGGCGAATACCGCAGGGACGGTGTCCCCATGGGCTACAAAAACGCCGGTTTTCACCGCGTCATCAAGGATTTCATGATTCAGGGAGGTGATTTCATTAAGGTACGAATGAAATGCTATCCCAAGTTACAACTTAGCTTGTTAATGCTTTCAACTCAATGATTCTCCAATCCGGACTCACACGTGTTTTCTTGACACTTGTAAATCCGAATTTGCTCCGAATTACCAATAATTCCACTTATTTGAAAAATTACAATTGCGTGGGTTTCCCTATTCTGCCTTAACCCGCGCCCCAGTGGCGGTCTCAGCCAACTTCGCCCTGCACTAGTCGGTCGCTAGCGGTGTACCAAATTTGAACGCAATCGGCCCAGCCGTTCCTGAGATCTGGAAGCGGCATTCTGCACGTGCGCACGTGCAAACGGGGTCCAAATTAACTTTTGCACGGCACCCTACTTACTGGTCCCCAACCGTATACCAAATTTGAGCGCAATCGGCCCAGCCGTTCTCGAGATCTGGAAGCGCCCCCTGCACGTGCGCACGTGCAGTAGCACCCTAACCGCAACACATGGGAATGCATTGCCTGGTGGGTGCCTACCTGTATGCCAAGTTTCAGCGAAATCGCCCCAGTAATTACCGAGTTATTCAAATGGGAACAAATTTGACACCTCTTATTGTTGTATTTTGCACGTGCACTGGGGGTGACCCACATGCATCAAGAGTATCCTATTTTTGGTAGAAGGGATGCTGCTACCCTACAAAAATTACCGCAAGTCAATCGCCCGAGCGGCTGCTGAGATATGAGCCTCTCAAAATCACTACTTTTGCAAAACAGCTTGAACACCCTTGACTTTTCACGTGGCACATGCCACGACGGTCACTGAGGTGTAACAAAAGTAGTCAATTACGGGGTAGAAGGGTTGGGGCTACCCAGCAAAAAAGACCGCAGGCCAATCGGTCCAGCGGTTGCTGAGATATAAGCCTCTCAAAAGCGTTACAGGCCGGGCCGGGCCGGGCCGCTCATACTGAGATTTTTCCGTTATCATCATCATCATCAATTTATTACCAGTAAAACGCCTTTTGGGCGAAGGACGAGCGAGCGAGAGAGTGAGCCCTGCACGTGCAGAAGGGCGAGAGGGTACTTCCAACGGGCTTGTGCAAAGCACCCTTCTAACCGGTCGCTAGCGGTGTACCAAATTTGAACGCAATCGGCCCAGCCGTTCCTGAGATCTGGAAGCGGCATTCTGCACGTGCGCACGTGCAAACGGGGTCCAAAATGACTTTTGCACGGCACCCTACTAACCGGTCCCCAACCGTGTACCAAATTTGAGCGCAATCAGCCCAGCCGTTCTCGAGATCTGGAAACGCCCCCTGCACGTGCGCACGTGCAGTAGCACCCTAACCGCAACACATGGGAATGCATTGCCTGGTGGTTGCCTACCTGTATGCCAAGTTTCAGCGAAATCGTCCCAGTAATTACCGAGTTACTGAAATGGGAACAAATTTGGCACCTCTTATTGTTGTATTTTGCACGTGCAGTGGGGGTCACTCACATAGATGAAGAGTATCCGACCTTTGGTAGAAGGGATGCAGCTACCCTACAAAAATTACCGCAAGTCAATCGCCCAAGCGGCTGCTGATATATGAGCCTCTCAAAATCACTACTTTTGCAAAACAGCTTGAACACCCTTGACTTTTCACGTGGCACGTGCCACGACGGTCACTGAGATGTATCAAAAGTAGTCCGAATTACGGGGTAGAAGGGATGGGGCTACCCAACAAAAAAGACCGCAGGCCAATCGGTCCAGCGGTTGCTGAGATATAAGCCTCTCAAAAGCGTTACAGGCCGGGCCGGGCCGGGCCGCTCATACTGAGATTTTTCCGTTATATTGAAAAGACTCACTTCGCTCGCTGCGCTCGCTCGCTCGTAACAACATCCTTGACGGACAAACACATATACATGTACACATACACATACACACACCTATACCTACATACACTACGAGTACGATCAGTTTTTCAGCCGACGGGGCCTATGAATGGCCTTGATTGAGAGCACGCATGTCAACAGTCTGACGAGGCTCCAGGCACAGGTATCGTTCTGGGCCATCAGCCATCGTAGTGAGTCGGTTAAGCCACAGGGGACAGTAGGACATGTTACCCACTCGGGCGATACGTGGCCGCCAGCGACCCTGACAATGCTACCAAGGCTTCCATCACACAAGGCAAGCACATGGTTTACAATCGAGCCAGTATGTCTCGTAGAACTAGTGTTCAGAAAAATTCGCGCTTATGCACTGAACAAAACGTCACGGAGACGATGGTCCCCATCAAAAGCGTCCCTGAGGGCAGCAAATTGCGAGCGGCGCAACGGTGCCTGAACATTGGGGATGTTAAGTGCTTATATTGAAAAGACTCGCTTCGCTCGCTACGCTCGCTCGCTCGTAATTAAATTTGGATGGGGTGTTATTCGCAAAAAGACAACAGATAGAGTGCTAACGGATTTCAGCGCATTGTTAACATTTGGCGATTTCGTTTCACTCAGTTTTCTGACGTTCATTCCAAAAGCTAATAGTGTGCCATTGCTTTACAACATACATGCACCAATTTGACGTGATTTTATAGAGGATTTAATGCTCTTTCTAATGGTGTTCGCAATTTGTCAATAAAGTGAATACTTTCGGACTTAGAGACATTTTAAGTTAGGGGTTCCAAATTTTTTGGATCACCCTGTATGTTACTAGTTACCACCCACCTCTAACTCAAAAATTAAGGGGGCTAGAAAGACGCGGTAAAAAGCAGTCGATAGCTCTCAATGCGTACGTTTGAAAGTATTTCGGTCATTTTTCACCTTAGAGCAATATTGGGGTCACCAGAGGTCATCACAGGTCAAAATTTGCCAATTGTCATTATAGTTTTCAGAAAACATGCCGCTATCTCAGGAACTATGGTAGCTAGAAAAACGCATGGAAGAGCAATCGATAGCTTTTGAACTCTTCTTTTGAAAAGTTCATTATCAATATTGACCTCAGGTCAACGGTTTAGCCTCCAGAGGGCAAAAACTCCAAAAATAGCTGTTTTTACGAAAAGTGTTTTTCGACAATAACTTTCGACTACAAAAAGCCACGGCATTTCTATTGCCAGAATCGTGTTTCCCTCGCCAAGACGCGTCGAATGAATTATAATTTGACCTTGAAAGGTCAACTTGAAAATTTGACCTCAGGTCAAGGTCATGACCTTACCGGGAAAGGTCATGTTGCATATCAGTCGATGCGTCTCAACAAGACAAACACAATGAGACCATCCCCAGCGTTCTATCTCTTTCCAATCGCGAGTTATTGGCAAAAAAACTGTTTGTAGCCTCAAGTGACCTCGGATGACCTGTCTAGAGGCTATCAGCAAAAATGACACCTTGGTCATCACGAGTGGACTAAATCATTGTGATCCTGAAATATTTGGTCTGTTCCGATGCGTACACACCGATCTAGAGGCAATTTCATTTTTCTCCATTGACTTGTAATGAAAAGTTCACGCCACTGACCTGACCTTAGGTCACGGATATAAAAAAAATCCGAGATATACAAATTGTAGGCGCCCATTACAGCATGCAATCCACCAAGTTTAAAACCTTTCTGACAAACAGTGCAGGCTGGACATGATTGCAAACTTTTTTAGGCTTGGTCAGTTAACTTGACCTGGTGACCTGACCAGACATGACCTGGGGTCAAAAATTTCACACATTGTCCAAAGTTGATGTACCAAAATCTACCCCAAGCGGCGCGGCGCTACGCGCCGCGGTTTTTTATTCACACGCAAAAAACGCGACAGGGTGGTAACATATGCCCCCCCCCCCACTGCACAGTCTACCTACTACATCTACATCTACGGCGCATTTTCACCCGGTGATTGAGCATGCATCTTTGCACCAAATTGCACCTTTATCAGACCATATTTGACAAAACTGTGCGATTTGCGGCAAAAATGACGCCTTGTGACCAATGTGACGCCTCGCGGCAAACGCGGTGCATTTGTAAATTCTATCACAAACTGTACCCATTTAGCGACAGTCAACACATTTTTTCGCCACTTTTCATTCAAATTAATAACTTGCCGATCCGCCAATGCGAGGCACTCGCCACCGATCGGCATGCATTTAGTCCACAAAGTTTGTCGACCCCGGCTCTCAATGAAGATATAAGAACCGATCAAAATTCCATTGGCGTTCTTCCAGCGCGCCCCACGCGCGAACCGTGCACCCCAGCGAGTCGGAACCTAGAAAAGGCGCTGACCCGTTACGTCACCTAGAAGGTGTGCAAATTTGAACCCCCTACGCCGTACCGTCTGCCCTGTAGGCGAGTGGAATTGAACCCACTACACGGCGTGGCGGACAGACAGACAGACAGACAGACTTACAGACAGATGGATCCTGTTTAACCCGGCAGTTGCTGGGGTATTTCGCCACCCACCGTTTGCTGGGGGGGGGGGCGTTAAACGCCCCCAGCCGATAACTCGAGAACCAATAGGCGCAGCGAAACGCACGAGGCGGCAAACGAAAGAGCGCGACGGGACGCTTCAGATGAGTACTTTAAATTTGAATTTTGAGGTCACAGGTCGGGTCAAGGTCAGGTCAAACACCTGAAATCGGGCTTTCAGTAGCATGGACTTCAGGACTTCGCAATGGGCGCCTCTCGTCATAAACTCTGTCCAAACGGTGCACAATCCATCATATAAGGCCTACAAGAGTGTCAGCTCCATGTAGGGGTCAGTCAAGCATAGGTCAGGGTCAAGGTCAGGTCAACCGGGTAGGCACATATCCCCGAAAATCAAAACTGATATTCGCAGCCTGTGACACATGTTTTATAGGTAATTTGGGGCGTAGAACACGATGGTGACATTCATTATATCATATGTGTACGTGTTTGGCTCAAAAAGTTCAATTTAAGAAATGCATGTATCATGGTCGTGAAGTAGTCACGAAAAATTGCCAAGATTCAATTCAAGATTATGGAAAATGCGGAGCGATAATCAATAATCGAAGATAGCCATTTGATTGATCATGGTATTGGCAGTCTAATGGCGTTTACGGCATGTCTGTATGTCTATTCTGTGATTTTATATGATTTTTTGA